ACATGAGATAATAATTTTTTTTTAATGAACATTTGATAAAAACAATTGAAAATATATTTCCATTCCAGAAGACCCAGGAAAGAATTCAAGAGCTGAACAGTTTTAGCATGAGCCAGTAGAAAGGAAGATATGAGAAATGCCATGTTATGTAAAACAGACTGGAAACTACTTTTTCATACAACATAGCTACAATGTGAAAAAAACAAATATATTTCATAGAAAAGACTTCTGTATTCACAGTTCTTCCCAAAAAGTTAATCAACAATGATTGTCAAAACATATATACAGTAAACATGAAAATATGTAACATAAAAGGCACAAAATGTCACAAGACAACACGAACAGCTTTCCGCACAGTTAAAATGTCACAAAAAACAAAACCTTTGATATCGCATTTTTTAAGAAAAACAGCCAGGACAGAGCATATTTGTTAGATGTGTAAAAGATCTGTGGGCTGCACATTATTGTTATAATAAAATATTAAAATTCTCTGTGTACTAATACACTGTGTGCTTGGCCCCTATACGGACATGCCAGTACAGCAATACAGCTCATCACTGAAGCTTAAAATCAGATTATATCTTTAAAATGAGTGCAAAATTTGTGGTCCCAAGAGAATAAAACAAAACTCCAATACTTTACCATTCTATTTGTGTGGGAAAAGAAGTAACCATTGATAGATTTATTTGTTTTCTGGTAATTTGATTACAATAAAAAATAAAAGAATTGTGCCAAGCTAGAAATTGCACTTTTGCATAAAAAAGTGAGGAAAGCAAAATATAGTGTTACTCTAACAGCGTATAGGGGGCTGATATTGGCATAAGCTCTCAGGGCATGTATAATGAATGCACCACACCCAAAAAAAGTAATAGGCACTTGCTGACCCAACACTTATACTTATCCCTTCACCTAATCTCCCCATACAAACCTTAAAAGAGAAGTATGGGATTCATTTTTTTTTTCCCCCAAATCATACTTACCTAGGTGGATGCAGCATTGGTCAGATGCTGCCTCTGTCCTCCGCCGGATTAGTGTGAGAACTCAGTGATCACATGACTGCTGATCACAGAGGAGTTATCACAGCTGCTCTGAGCAAAGAGTGGTGACTGTCAGTCACCGCTGTCTGCTCTGCCCCCCTACACTCACTGGAGCGCTGAGCTGTGGAGGGGGAGGGAGTGGCTGGCTCAGGCACTCAGCAAATCGCTGAGAGGCTGAGCCAGGTGCCACTTCAGACTCTGAGGTGGATCCAGACTTTAAAGTCAGGATCTTTCCCCAGCCTGGACTGGCTGAGTAATGTCAGTCGAGAGCGGTCTTCAGACAGCTGTCAGCTGAAAAAGGGCTACAGAAGTGTAGAACGAACTGTACTCCTGTAATCCAAAGGGAAAGTACAGCCAAAAGAATTTAAACCTTTAAACCTCAGGCAACTTGTACATGAATACTGAAATTTTATGACATTTTGACAGTAATGAATACTATCATGGTGAAGGAAAAATCTCAAGTTATAAAGTTTTGTTGCCTATTTACAAAAAAAAAAAAAAATAAAACTGAGCTAAAATCTGAAATTATATGCGTCGTGTGCAGTCTAGCAGACTATGTTAAAAAAAAGATTTGCAATTTTTAATTACAATGAATGGTAAAAGCCTCCAATATAGCATGCATTAAAAAAAGCTGTTTTGAAGGATGGAAAAACAGAAAATGTAAAGGAAAGAGAAAAAAAAAATCTAAGCTTTTCCAGGAAAAAGGTGAACCCTTTCTAGCTAGTTCTAATTTGAAACTTAGAGCTGTGAACACCAAACCTAGCGTGAAGATGGAACAGTATGTCAGTGGATTTTGAATACAGGCAAGAGCCAGCAAGGGCATTATAAGAAATCTTGGACTTCAGTAATACACCCTTCCAAAGAAAATACAGGTGTTAGTAACATTTGCCACACTTACAATACAGCAATTATTATAGACACTGGGCTTGATGTAAATTTGCCATATATAATTTGAAGAGGGTAAAACAAAAATACATTCCCTGCACATCGGACATCCTTCAAAGGAAAATCTTAGCCTTAAAATCCTCATCTGCATTGGCCCTCTCCACCTGCCACTATGCACAGAGTGAATCCAAGCAGCCAACGTGCCTAGATTTTCTTGCTTTAACAAACCTGTTATGAGAAACATTTCAGGTAACCAATGCTTATCAGAATAATAGGGTTTAATGTCATATGGTGAGCATACCAAGACATGAATAGTACAATAATGCAGTACAAAGCGTAGTAACCCACAGAAATGAAATCTATATCACCCATAATGTTTACCACATTTAAACAGAGGTCTAATTGCTGTATGTTACTATACTTTGCAGTCACTGCACTGTATTATTAAAATAAAAAACGTATCTTATCAGAAACAGAAAAATTTAAAAGGAAACGGTAAAATAAAGCATTCAATAAAGAAAATAAATAAATATTTAGCAGTGGTAACTCTAGTTAAAAGATGTATGGCCAAAGTTTGTGTGGCCATACTTCTCCTCTGGATCTGTGCACTTACTTGTGCTCTCCTGTTACCCAGAATCAGCATACAGTGGGATAAAGCGTACTGTTGGCTGATTTCACAGAACCACTCCAGGATCTGGAAAGATCCAGACAATGTCGGAATCCACCCAGATGCCAGACTGGCAACTGGCTCAGCCTCTCAGAGTGCTGCCTAGAGCTTAAGCCGGCCGCTTCCACCGAATTCCCAGCCCAACACTCCAGTAAACACAGGAGGAGCAGAGAGCGGAGAGAGAGAACTGAATGATCAGTGGTCATATGATCACTCAGTTCTTGGTTTAAGAGCCAGCAGAGGACAGCTACAGCCATACAGGGGAGTATGTACGTTTATATTATGTAGACAACACTTATCCTTTAGGATTCATACAAACAAATTATTTGCCAGATAAATGTAGAAATCTTGCACAAAGGATTTACTATTGTTTAGTTATTTATGAGTACCTAATTCAGTCCCTAATCATGAAGCGCCACATACTAAACACTATATTTGCAGCAATGCTTTAGGCAATGACACTTGTAACTGCTTGCCAGTGCCCATAAATCTGCTTTCACATCAGTTATATAAACAAATGAATAATCATGCCATCTGTATTTGGGGTGATATGGGGGGGCTGGCATACTGAAAACAGGTCCTGTTACTTTTCATTACCAGAATACTAAATTGTGCCAACAATGCCTCAATTCAGGTTAAACAGTTAAAAACTACATTTAATGTTTAAATAACATAAAACATTAAATGTAGTTTTTACTGGTTTAACCTGCATTGAAAATGAAAAGTAACAGCACCTGTATCTCATGCCAGCCTTCTCCCCCCCCCATATACTAATCAATATTTTATGCAACTCCCTTTTATTAAAGAAGTGTTTTCTTAGCTGAATACGCAGCATCATCACATGGTTTTGGTTTGTGAATGGTTAAACAGAGGAGGTGGAAGTACAACACTGGACCAGTTTTTAGTATTAGAAACTGTTCCGGTATAGCTGAGGGCTGGAAACGCGACTACCATTGGTCCTCAGTGTAGCTTAGACAGGAGTATTCAAGTAAGAAAATGCTTGTTTGTTAAAGGGGGAGCTGTAAAAAAAAAAAAAATATATAGTGGTTGTAAACCCTCACACACACCAAATGAAATGACTAGCCTTGGTGTTGCACAGATGAAACAAATCCTCCTGCATAAGTTGTACCTGTTTATCTGCAGACATATCTTCTGTACAGCCTCCTAAAGCACACATTTTAAAGCATCAGTGAGTTCTAGCAGGCTGGGGGGTGGGGACCTGTGGTCACACAATGCACAGCATAGAGCACGGAGAGGACTGCAAATAGAGTTGAGCAGAGGGAATTGACACACCACACTCCACACAAATTCATAGGTAATACATGCACAGCTGAGACTGTACTAGAGCTCTCCATTTCTCCCTCTTGGAGGTTGTATTAGCGGTCAGAAATGACTCATGCAGATAGAGAAGACAAGCAGAAGACAGAAATCACACTAAGTGCTTGGGATTGAGGCAAGTACCTCATATAGAAGGATATACTTCATTTTTCATGTCAGAGGTTTACAACCACTTTTAGGTTTTACAAAATGAAAAAATGATCAATGTGCCTGGGAGTCGGGTTTTAAGCTTCTTTCTCATATAGTGACACACAAGCTGTCTCTCCCCACATTCCTAGTATGGCATTTTTTTTCCAAACAATGCCCCCAACACCATTAAAATCTATTTTCCAGATTAGCAGGTAGCAAAATGTGTCTGTAGGCATTTTCCGTGTCCCCATAGATTTGGTCAAAAAGGAAATGAGGCTTTATTAAAGACAGTTATGACTGCACATGTGCAGTATACACAGAATCCTTTAAAGGACATTGTTATATGTTCTATATTCTTCCTTCAGAGCCCATTAAAGCCTCTCTATATATGTAATCCTGCCTTCTGTGCAATCCCATGCTACACATAGCAGAGACACAGAAACCTGTTTAGTGTATAAAACCTTCAATCGTAAAAACACCCTTCTGATCCTGAGAAGAGATGGAACACAAGCGTTATCAGCGGTCCCTGTGGATAGGTCTGGCTAACCATGTAATAGTAGAAAAATTCACATAGCATTGCTGTACAGCAATGAAATATGGTGTTAAACAGTTGCAGTTCTGATACAAGTAGAATTTTCTAATATTTTTTCCTTTCCCACGAACACCATCAATACCTTTTATTTGGCTTGAATACAAGCTACAGGAAATAGTAAAAATTATTTACACTTAAATGTACAACATATCCCGCTATCTGTACTATATTATGAAAACACACAAGGATATGTTGAAAGCTTTTGTTCATTTTGATGGCCTGACACAATGGTTTCCAGTAACAGTGTACACAGCATGTAGTGCTTCCTCTGAACAGAAGCATATGATTGCTGCCGTTCTGTTCTTTGTGCAATTCCATTTAGTCCACACATAATAGAGCTCTGCCAAAAGCATCACCTTGCATTTGATCTCTGTGCATAAAAGTCGTCAATGCTATTTGTCAGCTGTCTGGTGAACAGTTTGTATATCTTGCCACAGTATGTGTGCACAGTTTTCTGCAATTCCAGTTCTAAGGGATATAATAAAGAGCGGATGAGGTCATCTCCAAAGGAATACTATGGGGAGAGAAAAAGGAAAAAAAAAAAAAGGATTACAATCGTGAAAACAGAACATAGGATCATATTTGCATAACCCAATAGCATTCTGTAACACTGCTATAGAGATATGACTACCTTGAGTATATTGGGTTCTCTTATGGGATGCAGTATTAGTCGAGAGGACTGGGGAACAACCTCTTGACAAAAAGGATAGTCCTAACCCATTTGCTGCTGTACCATTTGTTTTTTCTGCATTTTTTGTCCTGAAAATTACTTAAAACCCTCAAAACATTATTTTCTGAAAGCTGAGGTTCTGTAGAATAACATGGTGGTAGTTGCAAAATTTGCACAGCTGTTTATTACGTGCGGAGTTAACCTTCCTAGCGGTCTGATTATGTCAGTATTTCTGTGCTCAAAGCGGTAAATTTTTTTGCATGGAAATATGTCGGGTTTTTTTGTAGGCCTGTAGGAATAACGCACTGAAATCTGTTCGAACAAGAGTCTAGTAAACATCCCGGGTATGTTAAAATTTGAAACACGAAATCATAAATTATAACTTAATAAGTAATATAATAATAAATTTAATTCAATGATATAATCAAACCAAAAACACTGAAATTTGAAAAATAGCGCGCCAAGTTCGCACATAACTGAGCAAAGTCGCAAAATCGTTTTCAGTGTCCGATGACGAATTTCCCCACAAATCATTATCTCTCAATTCTGCAAGTGGTTCTAATTTACTATCGCTGTTTTCTAGCTGGTCTAAAACCAATTTTAATCTAAAGGGACGCTTTTTGGACGCCATGGACGTTTCTCAGTTTCCAGGCAGAAAGAACAGTAAAAATGCAGGCAGGGCACAGGACAAAATGTAAGTAAAATGGTTTGATACAGTAATGTTATACTATGTGATTTTAGTGTATTTAGTGAATGTCACTTTTTGACATTTTTAAATTTCCCGCCAGTTCCGTCCCCCGTACGTCCTGATGTCGCAGGGAACAGAACCCAGAAGAAAGATGCCGGCATCGGCCGGAGGACATTGCCGGGGACACTGCAGGGGGGGACATCGTGGGAGTGCACTACAAGGTAAGTGCAGAAGGGATCCCAGGGCAACGCTGCAAGGTATTCCAGAGTGTAGCTCGGGGTTACCACTTGTGGTGCTGAAACTTTACCCCGAGCTACACTCGGGAATACCGCCAGGGAGGTTATTAAGATATCAAATATGTCAAGTCTTACAATTTCATGCATCCATGATCAGCTGTTTCCTGGCACTAAGTCACTTATATCACAGCCCAGTGCATGCTAAGTAAGTATAAAACAAGCTCATGGCTGCTACTGTCACTAAGTTTTTTTTTTTCTTTGTTCTTTTAACGCTTTCATTGCCACATGTGGTACATGTCACTGCCAGTGAAGGGGTAAACCTGTGTTTCATTAGATTTTTTCCTAGGTGTCAGTGCAAAGGGAAACTTTTTTATTTTTTTTCAAATAATGTAATTTTTATTGAAACATAGTTTTTGTATTCTTGTACAATCAAAATGGAATAAGACATACATTCTTTCCACTGACCAGCAATGTAAGGAACATTCTTCCCACTGACCCCCTATGAATTTTAGCATGCGTTCTCTGAGACCTAAATAGGGGTCCTTTGTGGTAAAAAGCTTAAGAAAGGCTACTCTTTTATGCGCATGGTAATGACTGAACTTACCCAAAGGCATGAACACAATCACAGGTACTGTTCATGTATTCATCTAAGGGTATTCACTCGACCCATGAAGTATAAATTATTTTCATTTATTCTCCTATTTTTTTTTATTTTTTTTTTTAAGAGTAAAAGCAATTCTACTTGCTTTGCTTTATATGCGATACATTTGGAAGACCTATATGTCGTGTGATTGTGGTTGATTTACTACAGGCAAAAAGGTTGTTCATTTTGCAAGTATACTTCCCCTTGGCTTAGTGAATGTGGTGAAAATTGAAGTGCAAGGAAAAAACATTGGATTTTTGCTTGCACATGATTGGTTGAAAGTCAGCAAAGCGTCACCTTATTCACCAAGCGAAGAGAAAATTCCCTTGCAAAGTGCACAGTTTATTTGCCTTTAGTAAATTAATCCACCAGTGTGTTATTGTATGCTGACCAAGGTTTAAAGAAAAAAAAAAGAAAAAACTTTTTTTCGTGTGTGTGTGTACTGAGCTTCAAAAGAGGGCTGTGTGTGCCCGCTTAGCTGGTGCATCTGGCTGAAGTTGCCAATATATTTGCTGTGTCGCGAGGTAAAGTATCAAAGATTATGAATATATTACGTATACAGTTTATGAGAAAACGTCATCTGATAAACATAAGCATGGTCGACATGGTCAACTGACTGAAAGACAAAAAGAACACTGCGCAGGATTGTGACCCGGAATAAGAAAACAACTGCTGCAAAGTGACTGCAGAGCTCAATCTCAGTCCCATGCTTGTCTAACCCCTATATACAGGTCTTGAGAGAGCCCTTTTGCTTTTACCCATGAGAGGTTTCTTGTGTGACACCTTGGTAATGAGATACCTTTTAATAGGTCACCAGTTGGTACGGATCCAGCTGATATTAATTTGCACTGACAAAGGGCAGGATTGCTTTCTAATTACTGATAGATTTCAGCTGGTGTCTTGGCCTTCCATGCCTTTTTGTACTTCCCTTTTCTTCATGTGTTAAATTTTTTTTCCCTGTCATTCGGTTTTATTACACCACTTAATTTATGAACGTATTTGTTTTGGCTTTGTATGTATGGATCCCATGAGTTATTACAGACGTGGTTTAATGTCAATAGTGCCTTTAGAAATATATTTACTGAGAAAAATGGTGACGTGTTCAATACTTACTTTACCAGCTGTATGTACAGTGCCTTGAAAAAGTATAAATACCCCTTGAAATTTTCCACATTTTGTCATGTTACAACCAAAAACGTAAATATATTTTAATACACCTCATGTAATAGACATACACAAAGTGGTACATAATCGTGAAGTGGATTATGATTTTCAAAAATGTTTACAAATAAATATGTGAAAAGTGTGGTGTGCATTTGTATTCAGCCCCCCCGAGTCAATACTTTGTAGAACCACCTTTTACTACAATTACAGCTGCAAGTCTTTTTGGGTATGTCTCTACCAGCTTTGCAAATCTATAGTGAAATTTTGTCCATTCTTCTTTGCAAAATAGCTCAAGTTCTGTCAGATTGGAGAGTGTCTGTGAACAGCAATTTTTAAGTCTTGCCACAGATTCTCAATTGGATTTAGGTCTGGACTTTGACTGGACCATTCTAACACATGAATATGCTTTTATCTAAACAGATCCATTGTAGATTGTCCTGCTGGAAGGTGAACCTCCGCCCCAGTTTCAAGTCTTCTGCAGACTAACAGGTCTTCTAGGATTGCCCTACATTTGACTCCATCCATCTTCCTATCAACTCTGACCAGCTTCCCTGTCCCTGCTGAAGAAGAGCATCCCCGATGGGGATAGTGAGTTTAGGATGATGTGCAGTGTTAGTTTTCGCGCCACACATAACATTTTGCTTTTTAGCCAAAAAGTAAAATTTTGGTCTCATCTGACCAGAGTACCTACTTCCACGTTAGTGAGAAGCCATGTGGGTGAAGACACAGCAAACTGCAAATGGGACTTTTTATGGCTTTCTTTCAACAATGGCTTCTTCTTCTTCTTGCCACTCTTCCATAAAGGCCAGATTTATGGAGTGCATGACTAATAGTTGTCCTGTGGTCAGATTCTCCCATCTGAGCTGCGGCTCTCTGCAGCTCCTCCCGGGTTACCATGGGCCTCTTGACTGCTTCTCTGATTAATGCTCTTTTTTGCCCAGCCTGTCAGTTTAGGTGCACAGCCATATCTTGGAAGGTCTGCAGTTGTGCCATACTCTTTCCATTTTCAGATGGTAGATTGAACAGTGCTTCGTAAGTTGTTCAAAGCTTGGGATATTCCTTTTATAACCTAACCCTTCTTTAAACTTCCCCACAACTTTATCCCTGACCTGCCTGGTGTGTTCCTTGGCCTTCATGATGCAGTTTGTTCACTAATGTTCTCTAACAAACCTCTGAGGGCTTCACAGAACATCTGTAATTATACGGAGATTAAATTACACACAGATGGTCTCTATTTACTATTTAGGTGACTTCTGAAGGCAATTGATTCCACTAGTTTTTAGTTTGTGGTATCAGAGTAAAGAGGGCTGAATACAAATGCACCCCACACTTTTCAGATAATTGTAAAAAATTTTGAAAACCATTTATCATTTTCCTTCCACCTCACAATTATGTGTCTCTGTGTTGGTCTATCACACAAAATCCCAATAAAATACATTTACGTTTTTGGTTGCAACATGACGAAATGTGGAAAATTTCAAGGGGTATGAATACTTTTTCAAGGCACTGTATACATATATTACACACACACACACACAGATAGATATAGCATTCATAAAGTATTCAGACCCCCCTTCACTTTTTTAAAAAATTTTGTTATATCCCATCCCGATACTACAGTTTAAATTTTTTTTTTTCATTAATTTACGTTCAGTACCCCATAAGGGACAATATGAAAACAGAATTTTAGAAATGTCTGAATTTATTCTAAAGAACTGAAATATCACATGTATGCAAGTATTCAGACCCAGTACTTTATTGAAGCAACTATGGCAGCAATTGCATCCTTGACAAGGTTTACACACCTGGATTAGGGGATTTTCTGCCATTTTATGAAAATCCTCTCAAGTTCAGTCAGGTTGGATGGGGACCATTGGTGGACAACCATTTTCAAGTCTCTCAAGAGATGTTCAATAGGGTTCAAGTCAGGGCTCTGGCCACTCCTGTGTTGTCTTGGCTGGGTGCTTAGGATCATTGTCATGTTGGAAAGTGAACCATCATCCTAGTCTGAGGTTCTGAGCGCTGTGGAACAGGTTTTCATTGAGGATATTTCTGTCCTTTGCTTTATTCAGCTTTCTCTCAACCAGGACAGTCTCCCAGTCCCTGCTGCTGT